CTGGCAAGGGCCTTTAAGCGCGGGTGTTACAGTCTGTGGTTCCTTTTGTGCAACTAAAAACCAAAAATGTGCAAAAATCCGTAAAGTTCCCTACCTGTAAATTGTCCGTCCCTGAATTAGTGTCCACAGTAGTTCTAATCGCAGTAATGGCACCGATCTGTGGAACGCAAGTGCCAACAGCACGCCATCCCTAAAGTTAAGCATTTGCTTAAAATTTCTGAAGAATAAATACTATGAACTAACTGCTTGACCATTATCTGCACGGATAAGGCAGTTTTGTGGCGTATAACCATTCACTTGCCAAGTTGTCCCTTGAGCGGACACTCCCAATTTGTTTAGAGATTTCAGGATCTGAACTTGACGTGTCAGTTCCGTTTTTTCTTTCTCAATCAATTTTTGTAATTAAAACTCACAGCTGCATCGATGTCATTCTGCATGACACGCTGCGCATCACTAAGCGAAGCTTGCTGTCCGGCATAAACTGTAGCGTCGGCCGTGTTGATCCCAGCTGGCGGTGGAGCCTTAAAATGGTCAATATGTAAAGTAAGATACATTGTAGGACAATTATCGCACGCATGGACAAGACGCAACTGCGGGCACCATCTGCGTCTCTTAAGTCAAATGCTCTCTCATCCCTCTCATAGTCTGCCGTCTCTTTCAAATAGTAACTCTCTAAGTGGCGGAATGGTGCACGGTCTTTGCTTGCGATAGCTGGCCTATGTGCTAGAAACTTACCGTATAATACGTCCAAGCAATGGGAGGATAAAATGAGAAGGTGAAGGTAGGATTGGTTACAATAGCCGCATCTGGGCCTAAAATGTAGAATTAGGTAATGATTATAGGTATTTAGAGGAGGAAGGGGAAATTTGAGAACTTCTTTGCGCAACATCTGAAGTTGTCTTCGGACAAGTTTGAGCGCAGGTTTTTTTAACACATTCACGACAAGGCATATTTTTTGATGACTGCCATTTCGGACCAGAGCATATTTCGAGTATTGAGTTTGCCTAATGTT